ATCCGTTCATGTAGTGTAGGCAAGTCAGCAGCACTTGATGGTCCTTTGTCCTCTCTCTCTCTAGAGGTGTAACAAAGACACGTCATAAGTATTCACAGGGTCACGTGAACACGAAAGCCAAAAACACAATAATAGTACTATGGTAGTATTTCTTGAAAATGATTATTTGTAGCTTTGAGATAGTTTTTTATTTTTATTTTTTATTACTTACTCATAGGGTTAATTTAATTAATAAATAAAAATACACTAGTTTTTGTTGTCAGAAGAAGTCAGAGATCAGAATTCGCACGTGTAGAAATTTTGTTAGATGTGGACGAAACCATTTTGTTCAATCAAAAACACACACACAGAGGCTCCAAAGCCCTTGTCACGTGAAAGGAAACACACTTGGCGCGTGCATTTCACGATTCTCTATCTCTTACAAATCCCTCTTCTATCTTCTGCATTATTTTAATCTTTTACTCGTTCGGACAAAAATTTAGAACTTCAATATCATTAACCTAATCAAACAGCTCAAGTATCAATTTCTGTCCCTTCTATTAAGGATTGCAATCCGGCTTAAACTTGAAGGACGACGGATTGTGCCGTCCAGTTTCACAATAAATGTGAATGAAAAGCATTGGCAGAGGAAAAAAGTGTAAATGAAAACATTTTTACTCTCATTTTTTCTATATTTTCTCCAATCAACATTTGCTAAAGTTAATTGTTTTACTCCATTTTCTTTCAATTTTTCAATAAATCTTTCCATTGTGAAACAGATGTGGAAAAGTATTATTTCCACTCAATTACTCTAATCCTCTAATTCTTGTTTCTTCTATTTCTATAACTCTCACTTCCATCCTTTTACGTACTCTCAACTAAACCATTCAAACTCATACGTATATATAATATAGATTTTTGTTATCATTTGAACCATCCCATACATATATAATCTAGATATATTTATTTAAATTTATTAAAAATATTTTATGATATAAACATAATTTGTTATTACTATTCTGACCATCCCGTATATATCTTATCTAACACATAATAGTGTTATTATTTGGTGTGATTCGTTTTTTTATAAAGATTTTTTTTTTTTAATTTGCTTTGATATTAAATTTTTAAGTCTATTTGCTATAACAACTAAATTTAATTTGCTAATGAATATGGTTCTAAAAAAAGGTTTAATAAATTTTTAATTGGTCTAGTGAATTAAAGGCAACTAGGTCTCTTTTCTTACTAGTATTTTATTTCTTTTTTTCCTCTGAGTAACATAAAATGTTTGGACAAAAAGAAAAACAAAATCAGTCAGAGCTAGCTATAGAGTAGTTGTGTCAAGTTCCTTTATTTAATGATCTCCTTGTAGCCTCCTCCTCGTGCATCATAATCACATCATAAATATGGGTGCCCACACAAAAGAAAAACCAAAAAAGAGAATTAAAAATATAAACACTAGTCTACTACTAATAAAAGAGTAATAAAAAGGAAGTCGAAAGAGACAGAGGGCTAAAACAGTAAGGATTACGTCATCAGCTTCCCTACCAATATATCAATGCACAAGTCCAGTCAAAGAGGCGGCCTATTTTCTTTCTTTTTAGTAAATTACAAAATATTTTAAATATTGTTCACATTTGTTTTTTTCATTTTTTTTTTGGATTTTGGGTCTCATTTCTCAGTGGTTGCTGTGAGACCTGCATTAAGGTTGTTACTGATCAATACATAATTTATACATAATGTTAGCTATTGGATTTGTTTTATAATTAGTACAATATTTTGAGTTCTTATCTTTTGTGTTCGAGTTTCTTTTGAAAATGTCAAAACATGAAATCATACAAGTAATCTTATAACCAAGTTCAGTAATGTATATGCATTCTTGTATATTCACTATAATTTGTTTAGAAAATCTTACAACAAAATCTTGCAGGATTAGAATTACACCCCATAAATAACGAATTGAAAATTTATCTTAACAAAGTCATAAATAGAAAAACCAATAAATAAAATTTCTATTGGGCAACACAACTTTTGAATCTTTCTCAAAAAATTTATGCATTGTCACTACAACAACAAGACTATTAGAGACCATATCACTAGTTTTAGTTCGTCTGAAGTTTAACAAACACGGAGAACTACTGTAACTATGGCTAAGGCTAAAAGCTCGCATCTAATTCTTCATCGATGTTTCTTTTTTAATGTTTCAAAACCATGTCAATGGCTTCGGTTTATGCATTTTGATCTAGTGCTTATATTTTCAAAAGAAATTTGTTATCTAATATTTAACCGGATCACTTGACATCTCCACCTTTTTTATGGATTTAAATTTTTTGTTAGTTTGACACCATATCTCTATTGTTCAATGAGATACATGTCTCTGATTCATATCCAAATATCATAAATCATATGGTTTTTCTCATTATTTCGGTTATAAAAGAAGAAATATATATATGAAGAGTTTTTCTAATTCTTTTTTTTTTTAAATATTTAGATTTATACCATTCTCATGTTTTTTTTGTGCCTTATTCTATTTTTTCAAAATAAAATACTAATCTGAAACCTATCCAGTGAAATTTTGATACGAC